TAGGGACAGATTTTTTATTGTCGATATTAAGACTACAACATTTCAATTTTTTTCTCATACTAGTAGCTAGCCCCCTTCATGGTTTCTGAGAGAATTATTCAAAGGTCATGACCCGCATTCAAGCCAGCAATAGGTTTTTTTTAGTATTAATAGGGTAATTTGTTAAAATTGAAAATTAAATTTTGGACCTTTTCTCAGATAATCATCCTCCTATACATTTCAGAATCAATTAAAATTAAATCGAAGTTTAAAGTTTATCGAAACATCTTTACATAATTTTCATTTCTGTACAATATTCCTTTTAACATGTTTAAAAGATGGTAAAAGTGACTTCATTCGTATAGGTACTGCTCTGGTATCCTGTAACTGGGATCCTATTCCATAAATTAAAAGCAAATGTTAACATAAACAAACAAATATAGGATCATCAGGGTCCTAATTTGTATGGCTGCACAACTCTTTAATCTTTAAAAATAAGAATAATAACAAAAATAGTCACGACTAGAATTGCGATCGATCGATTGCAAGCAAAAGCGGTTGTCACCTTGGTTCGCCAATTGCCACTAAACGGCAGCAATTTCGGAATTTTCCATCAGTGAATACAGATATATATATATATATATATGCATGACAACAGATTAATCTGTTAGTTTTAATAGCGTTAGGTGCATTTTTCAATTTTAAACAATTGTAGTTTCCATGACAACGGTGGCCATTTTGAAAATTCCAAAGTCAAACTGTCATCCACACATACCAGGTAACATTTCTGTAAAGTTTCAGAAAGTTCAAAGAATTTTGATTTTGTTTTGCAATGTCTCAATGGTAACGGTGGCCATTTTGAAAATTCCAAAGATATGCTACGTTGGCACTTGACATGTACGTTTCATTTCAGTAAAGTTACACTAGGTTTGAATCAAGATTCTTTGAGAAAATACTACTTTTATGTGTTTTTCCGTATGCATCAATTTTAAATTCTTCCTCTGTTTCCGTGGCAATGGCTGCCATTTTGGAAATTCCACATACTATTTGCACATCTACACATTACAGACTATATAACCATACACTTTCAATAAATTACATTATGACATAGTTCTATCATTATCAGTCCATCCATTTCAAATGGACAAATTACTGCTTATAGGTTTCTACAATGTTCCATTAAAATTTCGAATTTCGGAGTTTCCATGGAAACAGTAAACATCTCGCATATTCCAAAGTCAGGTGCACAACTACAAGTGGTGGTCTTCATTATGGTGAACTTCCATATACATAGGTCCATACGATTCCGAGAACTAGTCTGGACAAAACATTTCCCAAAAGAATCGTACAATAACAATATGTCACCTGACCTCCGTCAGGGTGACATAATAATACTAACAAAGGTAGTCTTTTGGTTTTTTATTTGTTATGTCAGACACCCTGACGGAGGTCGGGTGACATGTTGTTGTTGTTCGATTCTTTTGTGCAATAGGGGGTTGGCATTTCCAAGATGGCTGCCGTTGTCATGGAAACAGAAATAATGTAAAAAATTGGAAAGTGTTCCAAACTGAATGAAACTTTGTGGAAATGTTACTTGGCATGTGAAGACATGTCAGCCATCTTTGGAATTTTGAAAATGACCGCCGTTGCCATTGAAACAATACAAATATGAAAATTTTAAAAATACTTTTTTAAATATAAATGACCAAATGTAATACTACCTATCTCACCCAAACAAAAAAAAGAAGAAAAATGTTAACCAACTTTAGAATAAGCGATCATTGTCGTTTAATAGAAACCGGACGATATACAAAAATACCAAGATATAAAAGAAAATGTAAAATATGTAATATCTTAGATGATGAATTCCATTTTTTCTTTAACTGTAAAATGAATAAAAAAAAAGAGAAATCTTTTTAAAATTTAAATATATATCGAATAATTTGTTAATTTTAATACACTTAACTTGACTGAAAAACTCGAGTTTACACTAAATCCATCAAAACCAAATGAAATAACAAGAGTGCACACGTTGAAATGTCTCGCCTTCTTTACTAATCATTGATATTATGTTGATAGTCCTAAATATAAAGCTTTATTACAACTGTCACATAAACTTAACATTAACCAAGTAAACTAACATTGACCAATGAACCATGAAAATGAGGTCAAGGTCAGATTAACCATGCTAGGCAGGCATGTTCAGCTAACAATTCTTCCATACAACAAATATAGTTGACCTATTGCTTATAGTTTAAGACAATAGCAACTTAACATTGACCAATGAACCATGAAAATGAGGTCAAGGACAAATGACACCTGCCAGACAGACATGTACACCTTACAATCATTCCATACACCAAATATAGTTGACCTATTGCTTATAGTATTAGAAAAACAGACCAAAACACAAAAACTTAACATTGACCAATGAACCATGAAAATGAGGTCAAGGACAAATGACACCTGCCAGTCAGACATGTACACCTTACAATCATTCCATACACCAAATATAGTTGACCTATTGCTTATAGTATTAGAAAATTCGTAAGGGTTCCGCGGAACCCAGTGTCTCGCCTACTTTTGCTGTTAATTGCAGGCTCAACAAAAATGAGGAAAAAAATTAATAAAAATATTCCTCTCTATACTATCTTTTGATTGTAAGTAGCTTCTGTCCAAGTTTGGTAAAAATCCAGGATGGTTTTTGAATCTAATAAATGTTTTTAAAACTTTAACTGCAGACTGTATGTAAAGTTAACTGGAAGAAAAACTAAGTCCATTTATAAGTAAAATACGGAAAAAATGGAACATATTTTTATCAAAATTTTCTTCTAGATACTATCTTATGATCATAAATAAGCTTCTGTCCAAGTGTAGTACAAATCCAGGATAGTTTAAGAAAGTTGTTAAAATTTTAAAAACTTTAACCACAGAGTGAATGTAATGTTAACTGGCAGAAAAACTAAGTCCATTTATAAGTAAAATACGGAAAAAATGGAATTTTTTTTTACAAAATTTACTTCTGGATACTATCTTATGATCATAAACAAGCTTCTTTCCAAGTTTGGTAGAAATCCAGGATAGTTTAAGAAAGTTATTAAAATTTCAAAAACTTTAACCACAGAGTGTATGTAATGTTTCCTGGCAGAAAAACTAAGTCCATTTATAAGTAAAATACGGAAAAAATGGAATTTTTTTTTTACAAAATTTACTTTTGAATATAATCTTATGATCATAAACAAGCTTCTGTCCAAGTTTGGTAGAAATCCAGGATAGTTTAAGAAAGTTATTAAAATTTCAAAAACTTTAACCACAGAGTGAATATTTGTGGACGCCGCCGCCGACGACGACGACGACGACGACGACGCCGACGGAATGTAGGATCGCTATGTCTCGCTTTTTCGACAAAAGTCGAAGGCTCGACAAAAAACAGACCAAAACACAAAAACTTAACATTGACCAATGAACCATGAAAATAGGTCAAGGACAAATGGTACCTGCCAGACAGACAGGTACACCTTACAATCATTCCATACACCAAATATAGTTGACCAATGGCTTATAGTATTAGAAAAACAGACCAAAACACAAAAACTTAACATTGACCAATGAACCGTGAAAATGAGGTCAAGGTCAGATGAAACCTGCCAGACTGACATGTATCCCTTATAATCATTCCATACACCACATATAGCTGACCTACTGCTTGTAGTATCTGAGAAACGGACCTAATCACGTAAATTTAACCTTGATCACTGATCCATGAAATGAGGCTGAGGTCAGGTGAACCCTGTCTGATGGACATGTAGACGTTGCAAGGAACCCATATACCAAATATAGTTATCCTATTACTCATAATAAGTGAGAAATTTACATAACAAAAAAACTAAACTTTTTTTTCAAGCAGTCGCTGAACCATGAAAATAAGGTCAAGGACATTGGACATATGACAGACGGAAAGTTCGTAACATAAGGTATCTGCATACAAAGTATGAAGCATCCAGGTCTTCTACCTTCTGAAATATAAAGCTTTATACAAATAGTTTACGCCGCCGTCGCCGCCGGATAGTAATACCTATGTCTCACTTTCTGCGACTTTCGTCGCAGGCGAGACAAAAACAGTTGTTTCTTTTATTAAAAGAGTCATTATTCAGAACTGAGGAAAGGAGGCCAATAACCATTTTTAACATGCATATTATTATCTTGGTTATTATTGTCGAGTTTTTCTTGTTTGTTCTGTCTCTGTATTTGCTACAACCAAAATTGGTTTTTGTTTGTTTCGAAAATTAAGAATATTCATTAATGACAATTTTATTCAAAATATAGAATCACCATGATTAATAATTGAAACAATTCAGCCTAGACTTTTTTCCCTTCAATTAAAATTTATATTAATATGATAAAGATAGGTAGAAATTTGTATTCCCATTATACAATATTTTTTTATCAGATTTTGCGAATTCACAGAAAGTCAAAACGATATTGTCATGTAAAATGTAACATTTAATAATTTATAACCATTTAGATAGTACAACTCCTGTTTTAATACTTTGTCTAAGCCGTCATCATAGACGGTCCAAGTTGTCTTCATAGACGGTCTGAGGAATTACTGAAATAAGTGATTTAAAAATCACTTACTTAAGTAGCAAATTCGAAGTTTTGTCACAAATTGTGATTTTGTAGTTTTACCAAAAAAAATTTTGCGGTCGTATAAAAATGTATGAATGAAAAGGAAGGTTGCATAATTATTGACACAGATTTTCTTTAATTCATATATAATTACCCTTTTGATGTTCTCTACATAGGAAAATCATCGGGGAAAATATCAGTAATCAATCGGGGAAAATCAGTACTGTAATCGGGGGAAAATCACTTTCTGCCGTACTCGGTTACAGGCAGTGAAATAGGTGATTATTAATGAAAGACAACTCTCTTACATCCAACATTTGTGGACACATTAGTACTTGAATCAGTGCTTTTAAATCACTCATTAAGGTAAGTCCCCTGACTGTTATTCGGTCCGATTGGACTCAGTCTGACTTGTCTCCAGGTCAATTGTCCTGTATTCATGTATGTATTCTCATGTGTCTCTGTAAACTACTAGGATAACTAAACTTTTTACCACATGCGTTACAGTCATGAGGTTTATAACCTGTATGTGTTCTCATGTGAATCTGTAAATTACTAGGATGATTAAACTTTTTACCACATACATCACAGTCATGAGGTTTATCACCTGTATGTGTTCTCATGTGAATCCGTAAATTACCAAGCAGACTAAACTTTTTACCGCATACATTACAGTCATAAGGTTTATCACCTGTATGTGTTCTTGTATGACGTTTTAAATTACTAGGTTGACTAAACTTTTTACCACATACATCACACTCATGAGGTTTATCCCCTGTATGGGTTCTCATGTGTCTCTTTAAACTACCAAGCCCACTAAACCCTTTACCACATACATCGCAGTTATAAGGTTTATCACTTGTATGTGTTCTCATGTGAATCTGTAAATTACCATGCTGATTAAACCCTTTACCACATACATCACAGTCATAAGGTTTATCTCCTGTATGTATTCTCATGTGTCTCTGTAAACTACCAAGCTGACTAAACCCCTTACCACATACGTCACAGCTATGAGGTTTATCACCTGTATGTCTTCTCATGTGTCTATGTAAAAAACAAAGCTGACTAAACCCTTTGCCACATACATCACGGTCATTAGGTGTATCACCTGTATGTGTTGTGATATGTCTTCGTAAATCACAAAGCTGAATTAACCCTTTGCCACATACATAGCAGTCATAAGGTTTATCACCTGTATGTGTTCTGATGTGAATCTGTAAATTACCAAGCTGACTAAACCGTTTACCACACATATAACAGTCATGAGGTTTATCACCTGTGTGTGTTCTCATATGTCTCTGTAAATGACTTAGATGACTAAACCCTTTACCACATACATCGCAGTCATAAGGTTTATCACCTGTATGTGTTCTCATGTGTCTCTTTAAATTACCAAGCCAACTAAATCTTTTACCACATACATCACAGTCATGAGGTTTATAACTTGTATGTATTCTAGCGTGTCTCTGTAAAGTACCTTGCTCACTAAATCCTTTACCACATACATCACAGTCATAAGGTTTATCACCTGTATGTATTGTCATGTGTCTCTGTAAATCACAAAGCTGACTAAACCCTTTGCCACATACATCGCAATCATGAACATGTTGAGGTTTCTCACCTGTGTGTGTTCTTGTGTGTCTTTGTAAATTACTAGGACGACTAAACCCTTTGCCACATACATCGCAGTCATAAGGTTTTTCCCCTGTATGTATTCTCATATGACTCTGTAAACTACCAGGCTGACTAAACCCTTTACCACATACATCACAGCCATGAGGTTTATCTCCAGTATGTGTACTCATGTGTGCCTTTAGGTGACTTCCTTGACTAAATTCTCTAGCACAAACATCACATTTATGAAGTGTACCAGTCTGTGTTCTTATGTGTCTCTGTTGAGTGCCATTGATTGTGACGAAATCTTCTACCTGATACATTCTTTTTAATGCGTATGTATGTTCTTGTACAACTCTGTAAGGAACAAAAAAAATAAATATTATAAAGACAGAAACTTTTTGATACCTTCCTGCAATTTACACATAAAATATTTATTTTGACATTTTCTGCATTTATGCATCTGCTTGTTGGGTAATTCTAATTCCATACTTTATACAACATGTACAAGAATTATATATGGTGTACTGCCTCATTGATGTATACCTCACATCTTCTTTATTTATAACCTTGGACATGTTGGAAAAGAATGTTGGTAAATGTGAACATTATTTACAGGCTCCGTGTTGAAGGCCGTACTTTGACCTATAATTGTTAACTTTTCATACATTGTAACTTGGATTGAGAGTTGTCTCATTGGCACTCATGCCACATATTCTTATCTTTAGTAAATAAAATGTTGACTCAGAGATATGTCTCGCCTGTCTACATAAAAAAAAATCAAAAAAGACAATCTGATGGACAGCAATATTGCTAATTAATACGACGTTGCTGGACCATGAACTAGGGACAGGACCTCAAAATAGTTGCCAAACTGATATGCTTTGCTAGGTATGCAACTATTTAGAAAATATCATTGATATATCACAATTAATTTCTATTAAATTAACTTAAGCAGAAGCAGAATTTACATTGGAAGCTAGTAGTCAAGATACTAATAAATTCAGTTACTTGACCATGATTGACCTAGATTGCAATCAAACTGTAGGAGGAGTCGTGTGGAATATCTATATACCCATTATGCCCATAATCATTATGGGGTGTACGAACCAACGACAGTGGTAAAACAGTATCCCCCACCCACCATCCCCTCAAACTTTCAGTTGCAGGGGCAATAAAAAGTGTTCTTGGCAACTATGGTAAAACACATCCACATCATTCTGTAACAGTTTTCTATATGTATTGTATTATAATAGTTTAAACCAACCTTATTTGCTTCAATAATATGAAAAAGGGTTTAGAAACAAGTTAATCATGTTAATCAAACTCAGTAGCGGATCCAGAACTTTTCATAAGGGGGGCCCGCTGACTGACCTAAGGGGGGCCCGCTCCAGTCATGCTTCAGTGATTCCCTATATAATCAACCAAATTTTTCCCACGAAAGGGGGGGGGGGGGCGGGCCTCCCAGCCCACCCCCCCCCCCCTGGATCCGCCTATGAAACTTTGTAACTTTTTATACTCTGTAACTTAGATGAAGAGTTGTATCACTTGCACTCACACCACATGTTCTTATGTATAAAGTTAAACCTCTACACTATGTATATACCTATCTGGAACATGCTATTTATCCCTACATGTACATGTATGTAGCAAGATGAGAGAAGTTCAAGGGAAAATTTCAAATGGAATCAATTGATATGCAGCAATAATCAAATGTAAAAAAAATGCAATTATGTAATTATGTAAATAATAAACTTAAAACATCATTTCTTTGTCATGTTTGTATACACATGTGATTGTAAAATGTACGATTGTTTTTAGAAATAACTTTTAACTAGTGTATTGTCAATAATTTTTACCAACATTGTTTCAATATTGACTATCTCGACTTTATCATCATTGATTGTAAGAAGACAAAATGGAAGAGTTAGTTTTCTATTGTTCTCGTTCATCAATTTAGATACATGTATAAGAAGGTGTGGTATGATTGCCAATGAAACAACTCTCCATCCAAGTGACAATTTATAAAAGTAAACCATAACAGTTACAGTATATAATTGGAATATGTTGCCTAATAATGTAAAAAAAATAAAGAAAAATAAAGGATTTCAAAATTAGCGTCAAAGAGTACCTGACCAAAAGTTTAAGTGCTGCTTCATCAGACTTCTTTCTATATCATGTATATTATTAAACTTATGTTTTACTTAAATAATTTCATATGAAGTTTTCATGTCATATATTAATTTGTGTGTTATCATTTTTTGTATGTCAAAACTATAAGCCGTTTACATGAAGGGACCTCATTGGAAACAAGCTTAAAAGCTTTCATGGGTTATCCCTGATAAAATATCAGCAAAATTTTTTCCAAACACTTAAGGATACCACACACATAAAATTCCATTATATTTTATAAAATGTGTACGTATTGTCTTTATGTATCGTATATATTGTGTATTGTAATAATAAATTTCATATGCTTGATATTTTATTGAATAAAATATTATTATTATTATTATGCATGTGTCTGTCCAAAGTCATTAAATTGTATATCAATGTCACCAGTCAGGGATATAACTCTATAGGGTTATTACAGAAAATATCTTGCATGTGTTATTACAGATACTTTCATGAGTTGTCTACTCTTTTTATCCTTAAATTTTCTAAATCTGTAATAACATATGTTTGTTATTTGTAAAATAAATCATAAATATTTTAATTTTTAGTGGGCTCTAGGGAACTCTTGAAACTTTGCTCAGAAACTAAATGCATAGCCTTGATAACTAATTTTTTAATTAAATTAATACATTTTTCATTAACCATGGTAAATCAATGAGACAAGGCTTTTAAGGGATAAACTTAGCTGTAATAACAAGGCTTAGTTATTAAAGACATGGAACTTATTGTATGAGACACTTGGGAATTACTGGGAAGCTTGCACAGAACCTCATTACATGCTCTGTTCATTATTTCTTACATTAAATTAAAATACATTGTACATTGTAATTATGCATGATGTATGTCTGATCAAATGATTTGAAGTGATGAAGAGAAGCTGTAATAACACGCCCTTTAGTTATTATAGGCATAATTTTTCTGTAATAACATAGGTGTACTATGCATGATTGACAAACTATGAACTGTTATATCTTTCTATAGTGAAGTATACATAAAGACAATAGTAATATCAATAGAACTTGTATACATTTTAACAAAACTAATGTTGTATATTGTCCCTTTGAAACAAAAAACATACATATGTTATCACAGTTCTTTGATTTTTTAGTCCACAATAACAAATGTATGTTATTTTTCTCTAATAACCCTATAGAGTTATATCCTTGACTGCTCACATCATATATTTCAAACAGTTATTTAACCCTTACCAGAATACGGCGTGTTGGTGTATTTATTGACGCACTACTTAAAATTTTCAACATGTTTCGAAATAAAATCATTTACATTGTACCAAAATCATTTAGCATTCGTAATTTATACCAAACTATAGGAAAATATTCCTTCTTTAAAATGATATCTCATTTTCTCACTTTATTCTTTTTACTTTCCAATATTTAGAAGAAATCGTATTACACTCCCAGATTGAAAGACGTGTTTTGACAGAATAATGAAATTCAAAACTGAAATTTCGAAAAATTGTACAAAATTAAGAAATGTTACCAGAAACTTAAAAAAATGGCAAAATGCTAGAATAAGGTTTCAGCTTCATAATGGTGTCAACTATTTTGTTTTGCACTTCGTAGTTGCCGAGCTTTTAGAAAAAGATCAAAACACTGTATTTTTTGTTTTGTAATCCGGATGAAACTCACTCAAGTTTCAAGACCGAGGTCTATTTTAATAAGAATTTTCATAATAAAATATTACAAACGTATGTTCGATGAGGCATTAAAATGATACCTAAGGCCTTAACTATTCACGGAATGGAAGTTTATTCTTGATTTTGGGTTTCTCTCTCCTTTATATCTTCTCAAGCAAGACGACTCCGTGAATTTAAAAGACCGATCTATATGACAGGAAATGGACCACCGTCATGATTCTTTATATTATTCATCATACTTCCGATCGAGTCAGACATGGATTATAGCTCTGCGGGTGCTCTGCGGGTATCCCGATTGATCTCGAGCCGCATTTCCATTCCTTTTAAATATACAATTCCTTGTTCAAGGCAGCTGTCTCAACCTACACCTACATTCAGTAAATTCATTATGTGTAAATAGTTTTATCTTAATATTAAAAATTATTAAATTAAAAATATGCACTACCATTATGTAAAAATGTTATCATTTTTTGTTTATAATAACAAATTTGTTAATTTTCACTGTATATTAAAATCAATATTTTTCCAAAAACATTACCAAGTTATTTTATGAGCGATTTTCATAAAATAGATACCATAAGATGTAGAATTGTGTGAAGTTTAATTGTTTATTTGGCCATAATTTTCGTGAGGGTTGTTTTTATTTTCTGATGGGGCCAAAAAAAATGATGTGTGTTTACTGTACCCCTACCTACCCCAATTTTTATCCTCTATCTAAGTCGGGAAATTACAAGCCAGAAATGTATATAAGACTTCCGATTTAGATTGATTGTGCCGTTTTATACATGATTTTAATCATTTATTTTTTTTGTCAAATACTATTTTTATACTTCAACGTTGTTTGGTAATGCAGTTTGCCATTATTAAGCTTTGCAGCAAATTACCACAAGCTTAAAAGCAAAACAGTTCCTTCCTTTTTTCTAGAAGAGCAGTAGTCTAGAGGTAACAAAATATTCCTTCGGTGTTAAAATAAATAATATGCGAATGTCGGAAAGTTTTAACTGTTTCTAATTAAAAAAAATTATTGCACCACGGCATAATTTAGAATTTATTAACAGGTGAGCTTGGCGTGATTTCTTTTTGACACCTTAAATCTGGGACAGCCTATAGTTAGTATACACTGTTCCTGCTTAAATATATATACGACAAAAATTAGCTTATCAATGATACATGATAGATTATACCTGCAAATTGGATATCCCATACCGGTGTTTATTATAACACCTATTATCTAAGTTCTTTTATCTAGACAAAATACTACATCTGTTCATGTACTTCTTCCTTTATACTTTTCTATACCAGTCATATTCCAAAATTGAAAAGTTATTTTTTAACATTTTGCATTACTAAAGTACCTTAAATCTGTTTAAAAACTCGTATAATGTCAGATTTCATCTATTAATTGATCTTAATTGTTGCATACCTTCGTGAAATATCAAGAGGAGGTACAAGACAAAACTGTTTTTCAGAAGTATGTGTGTTTACTGTACCCCTACCTACCCCAATTTTTATCCTCTATCCTAAT